AACGGGGTGGCAAAAAAAACAACAAAAAAAATTCAAACACACACCCGCACTAACTAATAAATACCTGGCGACTGGCCCCCGAAAAAGCCGTACCATAAAATAAGTGCTACGAAGATTTCAACCGCTGCCTTATAATTATAGAGACAAGCTCAAAACATGCAAAAACACTTATCTGCGCAGTCGATCCGGAGCGCTCAAAAAACACGTCCATCCACCTTGACAGCCTGAACTGAACTCAACCCCAGCCACAACATACATACACCAGCCACAACCAAAAGCGCCACCCAACGGCGTCCTCGCTAACGCGGGGCAGCCGTTGGCATACTCCGCTTATTAGGTGGAGTTTTGTTCCTGATTCAGTGTTGCACACCTTAGAAGGGTAGATTTGGAAGGAGGACCCTCGCAGGTACCGTCATCGCCTTCCCGTCCATCTTTCTCTAGCGTGCTTCTGGGCCGCTTCAAGCTACTCGCAGTTAAGTTCGTGCCCTCAATGGTCTCTTCAGTTGCGTCTACTGCAGAGGAGAGTCGAGGTGCCCCCTCCTTGTATAGCCGCCACCGCTGGGCGTACCGTGGTCGCCTACGCTGCCGGCTCGGCCTTACCTTTGTTGTCTAGAGTTTTGTCTTTTTTTATATGCGCTTAAATTCATCACTAGCCTTCAGCTATGACCTTACCTACAAAGCAGATGAGTCGCTGCTCCATCCAGAAGTTGATACCGCGTCGACCTTTTCCATCATGTGTTCCTTCGTGGCCTCACGCCAGCCGGACCCTGTCATGTTGGCGTAGCTTCTCACATGTGGGGGCTCGTCGCGGCCGTTATGACGACAGAGCCCACAGCGTAGCACACGGCACTCGTTCCAAATGGCCGCTGCTCTGGCACCGGAGGCAGAGCAGGGCTCTGCAAGGCACCAACACGAGCGCATGGTCTTCTCCCGCACGTAGCTGATGGGGTATGTCCTCATTGGTCACGACAGCTTTGAAGTGCAGCTGCACAAGCTTAGCCTGAGAGCCTTTGTTCCCGCATCCTGAGCGCGCCGCTTGTCCTGGCATATCTCACTCACGGTGGCACCGGGCGATAAGGCTGTTCGAACGTCCTCGTCGGGCGTCGTGTGAAGCAGGCAATACCTCCTCATCCTAATGTCCTGGTGGCAGGGGTTGATGACGTCGCACCGGTGGTCCGTAGTGCTGAGCGTTTCCAGCGACAGATGCTTCTCTTTTCCGTCTTCATCCTAGAGAGCAATTGCTCAAACGTGGTTTATCTCGATACGCCCCTATTGCCATCAGATCCGACATCACCTGAGACGATCGAGTGCGTCGCGACAATGCTCAGCCTGGTAGGGGCGGGCCTTTAAATCGCCACGCAAGAACTTGGTATTGCAAACAGTTGTACAGTATGAATTTTTATGGAAGGGAACACGCCAGCGCGTGGCCTGCACTCTGCGACAGCTGCCTACAGCACCATAAGCCCATAGATAAAGAAAGCGCGTCCGCTTTTGACGGCATTGCACATTGCGGGACCATAGCGGGAGCACAATTTAACAGCACTTGCACAACTGGCATGCCTTGCCTCGTTTGCAAACAGACGACGGGAAAATTGGTTGCGCTTTCTTTATCTGTCGATTAATGGTGCTGTAGGCAGCTACAACAGAGGGCAGGTCACGCGCTTGCGTGTTCTTTTTCGTTGAAAAAGTTACATTGTACTTTAAGGAAGCTGGATTAAAACGAGCTAATAATCTTCCGTGTAGGCATTTCCGTAAACCTGATACCGCGGCCCGGATGGCCCGCAAGAAACGCCACTGAAGAGCACAACACCCTGTGTCCGCCCCCAACAGCAGCCTGAAGTGTAATCCTTATGCCACCGCTGTGATGGAAATTTCAATGACAAATGGTCTATATCGATTTCAACCATGTGCCACAAAACTTTATGAAATAAAATTTTCAAAGATATAACGAACTCTCGTTGGAAATGAGGCCGACCATGGATTCGAACTATATCAGATAGGAAACGAACACTTAACACCTTGGCCACTAGAATACTACAGTAATCGTAGTTTTTGAGTTGTGCTGTGCGTTATTTTAGGATATCTTGCGGTGATTTTTTAACGAACAATGTTAGGCGATTAAAAAAAAGCCTCGTTACGTCTATCGTTTCAAGATGGCACGTCAGACAAAACTGGAGCCTTCTCATGGGTGGCCATGGCCTCAACTTTTTTCTTTGTGCATGTGTTGTGATGACACAGGCATTTCATAAGAGTTCAGATTATTAGACTTTATTCGGCCAACGGTTGTATCCCTGACGAAGGCTGCCAGCTATCAACCATTCGAGGAACATCATCCGAGGTCTTCGTTGATGGCTCTGGCTCGCTGGACGGCCCACTCCTGGTCTGCGAGATCCCCACTGGGCAAAGCGGCTTCCCATCGCTCAGCATGTCGCGCTGTTTCATAAAGTCCTTCAGCTAACGCCACCCTTTCTCGTTGTCTCTCGTTGTTCCTTGCGCATTCTCGAAGTAGGTGTGCCATGTCGACCCATTTCTGGTCGCACCACGGGCCGCCAAGTGACAGGTTCAGCGCGGGTCACAGGTGGGGCCAATGGTAGGCATTGGTGAAAGTCCCCGTCTGCAGCCGCCTTAGTTATGCAGGCACTTAGTTATGTCCATCGTTGCAAGTTCTTACTTCAGACAAAAGTTGAGCCTTACCATAGGTGATAAGGGCCTCAACTTTTTCGACTGCTTTCAGGCGTCTCTTGTGGTGAAGCAGACGTTTCAGGGGAAACTTTTGCTTGGATAGCACCTCCTCTATTTTTACAATGCCAGCCAGATGCGTTAAATCCAGCCATTCACCATCATTCCATCTAGCTCTTTTCTACTTTCTCCTATCGCCCAGCCTACACGTGTGTTTTGCGGCTGTGAGGCAGAGAACATATATGTAGTGCGCCTAGTGACATAACTCCTTTGAATTTCTGGTTCAGTGGTGTACACATCCGTAGCACGGCGTCTTGCATTCCTCGTATTCACAATGTTGTCAGTCACGCTGGCTCTGTGCGAGATACAGTGTTTTGACATAGCGCGTCGCTGATCGTGGTGTCACGCGGGCAATCAATAAGGAAGCGTCACTACAATGCTGCTGCATGCGCTGACTTTAAGAGCGCTGGGAGGTGGTGGTGGTATTGCTTCGAGTGGCAAAAATTGAACATGATGAAGAATTCTGACAGTCATACTATATTGGAGAGGGAAACAGGTCTATGGAATATCTGTGTGAAAACGCTCAGATGCACGTGTAAAGCAAACAGCCCTACCCTACCTGTGGCGTCGTATCACAACCACTTCCTGAACTAAGGCGGACCGATGGCTCCCGGGCACACGTTTGCACTGGCATTGAAATGAATGAAGGGGGCATCGCTAGCGAACTGTTTTAGACAAACATGTGTAGTGTCAGTTACCTTATTCTCGAAACAGTTTTAAGGGGCGAAGCTCCTAAAAGCGGCACCCGTTCGTCCCTCGTAGTGCGTAACTAGTCTTACGCTTTGACCTGCAAGGTGGTGCCGGTGGGAGATTTCTCCTATGCGTTGTTGAACAATAAAAAATTCGCAGCGTGCGCGTTAACTAAAAGCCGAATTCTCCTGTCTCTCATTCCCAATTAGCAGCCATTTGGCATGTACATTGAGCACTATCTCACAAGAAAGGGTTGCTACGTTATACTCGCTCCCACAGACGGTCACACGGACGGACGCATGGACGGAATGAAGCAAGAACGAATGAATGGACGGATGCTTCGCCCCACTCTTTATCATTCATTCCGTGGATATGCTGCCAATTTTTGTTATGCTTATTGCTTACCAGTGCGCATTATCAGCTTCTACTCGAAAGTGCATTGCTGTGTGAACGACACTTTAAGACGCATTTACTGCGATATCGCGGTGGTAAGACGCTTTCACGCAGCTATAGCTTTGAAAGCCTGTTAAACTTTCATCGGAGAGCGAACGTGTCATGTACGTTAAACACGGATTAAGATACAAGGTACGCTGGTAAATACGGCAATGCACGCTTTGATGGCATACAACGTCTGCCCTCTATGTTGCCGGAATTTTTTTCTATAAATTATTCTGTCAGCTATACAACACAAGTTTAAAGTGTCTTCAAAACTTTACAATACATTCTGCCGCTTTTTGGGGCCCCTTTGCCAACGCTTCACCCAACCATTGAAGGCGCTCTGCAAGCCGCCAATGGAAACATCTTTCACTGACATCGTTGTTACAGTTTCTATGTTCTCCAGTGTCTCATGAAGAGTTTCTTTAGATTAATTTCAGAGTCACAAAGATCCAATTAGTACAATATTCATGGGTTAGAACAGCTCATTCGAGAGTTCAGTGAAGTGCATACATTCGTTTCCATTGTCCTTAGTTCGGGTCACATCTACTGGTAGTTTACAGCCAGCATTATCTTTATACATTGAATTCGTCGCGACATGACGTGGTTAATTCTCTGCGAAAACTCCGTTTGTCAGCCGTTCTTGTAAAACATTTAATGTGCCCATATGAACCCGTGAGTACCATGCCACCGCGGGGAGCGTGACCTGCCTGAACAACTACCAGAAAATGGTGGTTGTGACCGAACACATTAGCAAGCTAAAGTTTCTGTATTTCATTTTAGTGTTCTTTCGACAACTACTGATTGAACGTAAATCTACTTCGTGTCGAGCCTAACGACACGTATTGCATTCAGGCGTTAAGTTTTTCCAGCTAATAAACATACCGTTTTGTTTTCAAAATTACAGATATTTATACTTATTCCCTTGCGTGAGAGAAGCTACACGAAAGGCGAAAGTAATACTGGAAGCAGTTTGTCCCGGCAGGCAATCGTGGTCATTTGCTGCTTCAAGGGGCCCAATGATGTAGTTCCAGGGACAGCGTGTGCACCTGAAAGTCGCATTTGGAAGTTCGACTAAGATACGTAATCAGGCAAAACACACAGTGCTCACAAAAGAAAATTCAAGACAACTGCGCAGATAAAAAAAATATACATATTTTTATTACAACCATCGTCACGCCCGGAAACAATGCGTCAGATAAGTTCTAGCGTTGAGGGCATCACATTAGGCGACGACATATCGAGATGGAAGTTACCGCAAGAAACGAGGAAGGGCATGTCCGGAGCACAACTGCCACCCTGAACTTGTTTCCGATCAACACGACGATGCGGGTACGATGAGGCTATAACTGCGTCGTCGCTAATATTGACGGCAGAATGATATTAAGGACAATAATGCTCCCCGTGATCCTTGCGCAAGGTTAATAGCAGAAGAAACTTTTTTTTGTTAAAATGCGCTCAAGGTGTAGTATGAGCCGCAATGACACGAAAGCTGTAATGTTGCCTTCTAGGTTTCAGTTTGTGCTTGACAGATAAATGTCTTCAAGCAAGTCAATGTAATGATGATGAGGCCTTTGTTCAATACAGCCTGCTTGCCTTGTCTCCATTCTGGTATAACACAGGCTAGTGTTCTTGTACTTCCTCCTTCAGAAAAGAAAACCGTGACGATGATGGATGATTCTCTCTGAGCATGTACTTAGATTAGGGTACCACTGGGTTAATGCGACGCCCAAATGCAGGGACTTTCTGCCTTGTGCGGTACCAGACATTGCTGCAAATCTGTCGAGTTCAAAGAACTGACTTCGAGTGAGGTGGGTCTTCTTCCTTGTGTTAAATCATTACTTTCGGCTAGAATCCTTTCCTGTCATGTTTACCAAGTAGACCTAGTCAAAGGCTGTTCATTTAGCGACAATTTCGTACATAGCAATAACTTTGACTGACGCACGACCACTGCGATACGTGTACCGAATGTCACGAGTGCAAGGTACTTAGGTGCGAATGTTTACTAGCCTATATTGGGTATATCTTGTATTTAGTCCATCCATGATGGGTGAGATGAGAAATGTATGTGGTGTATATATGTACAGAGTTAAAGGATAATGGCTGCACTGGGCTCGGCGAGCACAGAGTATCGAGACAGATGGATCTTGTCCTGGCCCACGATGAGGCAGTTGGACGAGGTCTCACCACTATTCATATAGTGGAACAGTCGCTTCAGCTGTTCGTACGTGATGAACATGCAGATGTTCCAGGAACCTAGACGAACGAAGGAAGGTGTGAACCTGCGTGGAGAGGAAGCGCCATTGTTTTATCAAGACAGATTGAGTGAAACAGGCAATAGAAACACCACTGTTGAAAGCAACTTTCTTATACACCGTATTTTCTTTAAACTAGGGATTGTCTGATTTGTTGCCTGAATGCTTATCAGGCTACTATAGCTCTCACGCTATAATTTAGGAGAAAATTAGAGACACTAATCTAGGAATGGAGATTAATATTAATTAGTTGCTTCCAACAGACAATCAAGCTAAGGAAAACATGGTGGACATAAGACATCAGTGTAGTGATTGTAACCAAAATTCGAAAAAACATAGGGAACAACTTGCCACGGCACAAACCAAAATTCAATTTCCCAATAACAAATTAATTCTCTACCAAAACAGAGAATCGATAGTCCTCCCGTACACTTAATTGGCTATGTGCTTGCACAAAAACTTACGAATGTTAGTCAGCGTCATTCGCAGCCATGACGGCGAGTGTAGAACACTCTCTTTTTCCCTGGTGACGTCACTTAGCACGTGGAATGGCTACGAGCTCATGGCTGACAAAGAATTCTTTACATTTTAACGAAAGTTTTGCCTGTACAAAATTTTCGCTAGCAACAGCGCAAGAAGGGCAATCAATGTCTTATTTCATTTGTTCAGCACGGCGTTACAACTAAAATACACTCAAACCTAGGTAAGTATAGGATATGTCGTTTGTAGTAAAAAAGAAGGATTTGAAATAGACAAAAGGACAACATGTCACCAGCAGAGACCAAGCCTGCAACCTGTGCTACAATTTCGGCACAGGTGTTCACACAGGCGCCGACTTAATACTGCAAGCTTACTACATAATTGGCTACCATTCCAATCTGTCACTTAATTTGATTATTGTGAAGAGGGCCTTCGGAAGCAGGCGCACTGCCTCGAGGTCTGTCGGACATGCGCGGTACGGTACACATAGTTTTTTTTTAGACTTCAGGTGTGTTCTAGAGGTGGTGTTGATCACCTTGCGAACAAAACGTTCCTGAAGCTCGGCGTGACCGACCCTTTCAAACCACAGTGACAAATTAGGGTGCTGATATGTGCTCTCGGATTAGGCGCCGCAGTCATTTTTTTCTCTTTCCCTTCTGTGAATCCCCCGTTCTCTTTTCCTCAGTGTCGGTAGCAAGCAGGACGCGCGTCTTCTCAGCCTTGCTGCAATTGCTTTTCTTCGTACCTAGCTGTGTCTCTGCGTGCAGTTTATGCAAAATATTAACCGGTGGTTACGATACTGCCCTAACACAATTTATTAGCACCACTTCATGTCAGGCCAAGACCAACTTCGAACTTTTGGCTTTCCGCAAGCTATCAACTATGCCATAAATTATAACTATTGTGAAGTACGACAGCAACCACTACGCCATTAATCTTCTTTCCGCGGATAAGCGATGCACCTGCTACACACTTGTAAGGTATTCTGTGCAATTTGTTCATTGCGCATGTGGCCGATGAGGAGGAAGAATTGGGGCATAACACTTTGCAGGGGGTATTGTGGGGTGCCTGGTTTTACTGGTGCCTGGTCATTTTACTCTTCGACCACGCTATATTACGTAGGCTAAAGCGATTCATTGCTCGACATCCCATCTGTGTGGGCTCTCTTTGAAAATGAAGTTCGAGTACCTTCGTGGCTCAGTGGTAGAATACTAGATTGCCACACAAATGGCCAGGGTTGAAGTCTGATTGGATCCTGGGCATTGTTTTATGTTAAACGGTCGCTTCCCCGATGGCAATGGCAACACCATTCGATTGAAGAACACTCACCTAAGAGCTCTGATCTAAAAGTTTGACCTATGTCCCTCATTAACGTCAAGCCTTCCTGGACTTGACTGAACTCCTGTGCAGTCAGCGTATCGCGCAGTGCAGACGTGCTGTGCTCGCTCACCCTTTGTAGAAGGCCAGGAGACCGCCCTCGTGGAACATGCGCACCGCACACTCCATGGCACCCGAGTAGAGACCAGCGCCGGCGTTCATGTAGCGCGTCTTGACCACGTCCACGGGCGAAGCGACCACAGTGGCGCAGAAGCCCGCTCCGAAGGCGGCCACGAAGTGACACGCGATGTTGTCCCCCAGCAGGCCCCGAGACAAGATGGCCTCCTTGACGCTGTCGTAGCACACGAGTTCGGCAGCATTGACGATGCTGTTGCGAGCGATGTTGGGCAGCATGCCTAAGGGGAACGAAAAAATAGACATTGATTGATATGTGGGGTTTAACGTCCCAAAACCACCGTATGATTATGAGAGACGCCGTAGTGGAGGGCTCCGGAAATTTAGACCACGTGGGGTTCTTTAACGTGCACCCAAATCTGAGCACACGGGCCTACAGCATTTCCGCCTCCAACGGAAATGCACCCGCCGCAGCCGGGATTCGAACCCGCGACCTGCGGGTCAGCAGCCGAGTACCTTAGCCACTAGACCACCGCGGCGGGGCACGAAAAAATAGACAATCGAATAAATCGTAGCGAAGAGAATTGCTATAGAGGGACGCGCTGTCCAGTCACATCAAGTGAGTAAATACCTGGGTAGGTAGAGGCAATTTGGATTTTTTGATTATTTGCATTGCTTATTCGACAATGCCCTCGTTGCTCGTTTTGCGTTACTTGACACGTGGTTGTTTCTTTGCTGTTATAAGACACTTTTCACTGATATTAACGCGATTCCTTTACTGACATCAGGCCTGCCTAAGGCCAGTTTGAAAAGGAGTTTCAAGCACCAGCTATATGTACCAATATGTACCACAGGGCGTCGCCCAGTGGTACATATTGGGCGGGCATGCACGAACCCGGGTGCGGATACCGTTGTGTCGGTGTTTTTATTTACAGTGTTTTTTTTTCTTATTTTGTGCGTTAGTGGTTACGGAAACCGGTGGCAGACAGTTATGGCGCGCACGTTACCCGTGTTGCGATCTCATAACAGTCAGTTCCAGTGCACGAATAAACAGAAAGGAAGAAAGGACAAGCGCCTCTCTCAACTAAACGATTTATTAGAAAGGGAAGAATATATAAACAGGTAATCAAAAAAACAACGCATGCGTGTGCAGGCAAAACGTACACCCGTGCCACCTCGAGAGCACAGGGTACAAGAAAAAAGATCACCTCGAAACATATTCTAGAAAAGCAAACTTTTTATAGTGCAGCAAAGCCGAAGGCTGGCTGTATGCCAGTCCAGTATTCTACCACTGAGCTACACCGGTGCTTATCCTCTCCTTACATAGATTTAATTTTAAAAAATGGCTGTGTGACACATTGTTCACCTCTTTTTCTTATGTGAAAAGCTTCTGTCAACTCATTATCCTCCCTTTCTAATAAATCGTTTAGTTGCGAGAAAGCGCTTGTTCTCTCTTCCTTTCTGTTTATTCGTGCGCTTGAACTGACAGTTATACCATGCATATCAAACTAGCCCAACTTTCGATTCTGTTGATCTCATAACAGTTTTCGCAGTAACATATTCGCTACATTCACATCGCTCCTAATTTATCGAATGCATTAAATCAACTGCCCTTTTTGTGTGGCCTTGACTAGTTGCTCAATTACCTCCCCAAAAAACCCTCTTTGTCATTATATGACCTGAGTATGAGAGCCTTTTCTGTTGTCTTATTGCACGAAGGGTCAGACACTGTTTAATTCATTATGAATCGCTTTATGGTATGCTTAACTGCCATAAAATGTTATAGCATCAAGAAAGATGGGCTTGGCTACTGACAACAGAAAAATCACCTGAAGACAACGTGTTGTGTATCAGCACATCATGACCTAGTGTCCTAACTCTGTCATTCTTTTTCAAACTCAATAAAGGTACAACACGGAGGTATTGCCCACGTCTACACGATTTCTTTTCGTCCAACATTGGCAACCGTTGATGCCAGAGTTAACAAGCAACCACCACTCGCCTAACAATTGACCGAGAAATAGCGCAGAAATTGATTAGTTAAATCATTTCGGCTGAGTGTAGTGTAACCCCGAGGTACATGTGTAAGAGCTCAGGTAGAGGAGCACTGCGCAAACTTCAGAATTCCATTTTCGCAGTAACGAGAGGTACCGGTCTTAAGTATTTGACACTGACATTGTATTGTGTCTGCTTTGCTCTGCCCTAAACAGCCCCCTATATTGGAGATAACGTGCACACATCGCTCATGTAGCCAGTCGCAAAAGAACTGTACATCAGTTCATCAGTTCTATCCCCTAGGTTGAGTATTGCGGCCGCTGAGGACATGGGCGCCACTATACGAGCACTCACCCTTGTAGAGTCCTCGAACTCCCTCTTCTCGGCCGATGGTGCGGTACGCCTGGAACGAGTTCCGGTACCGGCGGGGAGCAGTGCCGGACTGTGCTTGCATGCGCACCTTGACCACGTCGGTGGGCTGGGCCGTGGCGACGGCCATCGCGCCCGTGGTGACCGCTGCCAGGATGCGGATGCCCAGCACGGAGGCAGAGTTGCCGCCCTGGTTGTGGCCTACGAGGAAGAGGGACGGTCATCTTTTATTTTATTTATTGCTATGACCATTGGGGACACAGCCACAGGCAAACGTTTCCTGGCCAGGCCGTGCCACTCATACAGCAGCAAATTCACCTTTACAGAGCACAAAAGCTTACATGAAGATCAATCAGCCTACTTGTTTTAGATGATTTATATGTACAATTCATAAAAGTTGAAGGCAACAAATGAAAAAGCACAACAAGATCAATGTTAATGGTTCTCTAAGCACTTGCTAAGCACTACAAAGCAGAAGCAAAAACAGATGAAAAAAAAATACACTGTTCTCAAATATAGTTGGGTGAAAGGCAACCGAAATCCACCTTTCTAAAGTAGCAAACCACTTGTAACGAAAAACAAAAAAAATGATGCGAAATAACATTCATGGTAGTTTTAACATTATTCTTCATAGTAATGCTTTCCTTATGCTTTTCTTCTATGTTTGCTTGGAAATTACAGAATCAATTAGGCCCATCGTTAAGCGACAGCCGTTAAGTTATAGGTCGAGATTCTAACTCCAAATTTAGATTTATGTTATTTTGTCTCGCTATGTGAAATGACTACGAAACAATTTCTGAAGTTATAGACTGTCAATTACTTATTTGGGAAATATGGCTTGTCTATTCGCAATTGCCGCGAAATATAAAGGAATCAGTTCTGACTTATTCGCCCGAAATATCCATCAATCGATCACTCATTCAGGAATCTGTGGTTACGTCTATACATCCACTTGGTTAATCAAGGTAAAATGGGTCGGCGCATAATTAGGCTACAGTTCATATGTCCATCCATATTGCAATTCAACTTGTAAATACATATTTCTGCAGGCGCTTCTTTTCTATTTCTTTTTCTATTTTCTATTTCTTTTTCTATTTTCAAGGCGTAACCACCGGTTTGTGCAGGTTGCACCAGAATTTCTCGAAATGTGCCTGATTGTTTCATAATTTTCCCACAAGAGTGCGCTCTCAACGTGAACAGTGAGGTTTATTTTGGAACTAACACTCCACATGAATAAACACCAAACCATCTCATCGTAGATAAAATTACCATCGGCTGACAACTGTGATTACATCAGCTTGTATTGCGTGAACTTTGATTTTCCTTTCTTAATAGAGCATTTCCATCTGCACAAGCTTCTATTTCGCGAGAAAAGCTATAAGGCATTTAGACAGCAATGCACACGTGCGTATGTTCGTTTGTCCCGCCCTCTGGCCATGTTCTAGCGCATCAACATGCTGTATCTTAAAGATACATGTCTATTGTTCATCCATTCAAACTTTGTGTATTGCATTGCTCACGGCATTGCCGTGTTTACATCAGTGACATCACCTGACAAGTTTATGAGAAATAAGAAATAGTATAACAAAGATTTTCTTAACAAAAATAGCCACGAAATACTTTGCCGCGAGGAGAGAAGCCAATGATCGAGGTGGTCCAAGCCGAAAGTAACCAAAAATATTTTAGCATTCCCGCTGAAACACAATAACGTTTATTTAAAGTTGAAGCAGCGAAGTTTCCACATCGCGTCTAATAACCTAAGACAGCTTTCGAACTCGCGAAGATGGATTTCATCAGAAACCAATTAACTCTGCTATCTATGTTAAATAATTTGAAACTAATTGGTTTAAGTACTTTGGTTATCCCGAATTTCTGTACATCCCCGTTTAGCGGAAGCTCATTGATCGGCAAGAAAACAAATGGGCATGAGCAGATCACGTAGCGAGATGACAAGATATGCGACGGGCATTAAGAGTAACAACCTTATTTCGGGAAGAAAGTAATCGCGAGGGATTGCCAGATGGATATGTGGGCAGGTGAAATTAAGTGGTAAAACATACAAGTGTTTATTTAGGTAAAAATTGAAGAAAGATGAAAGAGTGGTTGGTGATAGGTCTAGTTGGCCCCAAGTTTGTGCTAAAGCTCTCGTTACATTTGCCATGCAGTGAGCGAAGTGAGGCTAATGATGATGATTATTATTATGATGATAACAGTGTTTTCAGCCACTGTCGACCATGTTACCATTGTCTTGCAACACTATGGCCACCTTAAGGAAACCACAAGTGTGGCATCGTTTACACTAACCGAGAATGGCCATGCTGTAGGATTCTTTGACGCTGTCGTAGAAACCTATGCGCACAGTGGCAAAGCAGAACTGCCTCTGGAGGCCAGGGCCGATGCCTCCGTACAGTCGGGCGGGTCCTTCTTGACGAGCAATGGTCGCCACGGTGCCAAGGACACCACGGTACTTGAGGCTCGACCTGCTGTATCCAGTCGAGCCCTCGCCCTGGATCTGGAGTGAAAGGCACCCGAGTCCAGACGTGAGCATTAGTCACGCACTCATTGAAGATGAGCACGGTCTGTCTTTTCGCTGACATTTGCACAGCTTTAGCTTAAGACTCGTTCCTAAAGAGCTCATGGTAGTTTTACTTTTCAATAAATAATAAATCTAGTGTTATCCTGGGTGTACACTTTCCTAAACCTCACCAAAAAATGCTGACAAATATGACAACGCGGGTGGTGCCATCTTGCAGCACCGAACATCCCTATTGGGACCTCGCACAAAAGGAGTTGAAATGGCTATACTATGCTCCACAGTGTCTCTAACAACTGCCATTATAAAATGCTGCGGATTTCTTTTTGTCGACAAATGTTTGTGTTGCGATGTCATCATTTGCTAACTGAAATTTTGTAAACCGAATACAGTGGAGAGATCACACTACTGAAACTGATCAGCATGAACAGTTTGATGCATCGAGATGCGGCACTATAAACGAGGCAATGGTAGAGGTGTTCGTGTTTAAAGTGGTTGATTGATTGATATGTGAAGTTTAACGTCCCAAAACCACTATATGATTATGAGAGACGCCGTCGTGGAGGGCTCCGGAAATTTCAACCACCTGGGGTTCCTTAACGTGCATCCAAATCTGAACACACGGGCCTGCAACGTTTCCGCCTCCGCCGGAAATGATGCGTTTAAAGCGAATGGTCCACGTGCAGACTGCACATGCCTGCATTTGGTCGTTTTGATGCTAGGATAGGCAACCTTTCTATGTATTAAATTTTAACTTTTTTGTACAGGATGTATGTGGCTATAAAGCTACATACTCAGCTTCGGTTAAAGTATAGCTCAAACCACGTAATTAATGAATGGTAACAACTATTGCTTTCCATACAGAATAAAATCAAGGAAATATTTTACGAGGGGTGTATTTATTTGCTCGGTACAACCTAATAAATCTCAAAGGCAATTGGACCAAAAAAGCGTATCAGACGTTCAATGTTTTATTTGAACTGTAATTCAATAATTATGACATCAATTGAAAATAATATAAAGGTGTTAAATATTGTGATATGCCTGGATGCGATCCGAACCCACAACCTTCGATCGAAGTACTGCTGGTTGTCAAATTGGGTTCCACGGAGCCGTGTCATGTGTTCCGCGACGCTATGGCCTACAAAAGAAAGACTTTGTACTTTATTTCCCGGTACTGCTCGAGAAAGAGCAGCAATATCCTGAATAAGATTGATTCGGCTGCTCTAACACCTCCATTCAAAACTAAACCTTTAAACCCATCATGTTCAACTGCTAAAGCTTTGACACCCAGCGATGCCTGATACAGATGGTTTTGAACCAACTGGATACCAGATCATTTTCTGCGCAGATGATTCCAGGACATTGGACGTGTGCTTCGAGAGCACAGAAAGCAACCGAAACGCTGCCGAAGTACTTGAACGCAACAAATCTGAGCGACCACCTGTAAACTGCACATACTTCCCCAAGTGTGCTCATAATTGTGTGTGCATTTCTTCACTATCTTCTACTATCTCTTTCTCTTTCTCTTTATCCATACCATAATGCAGGGTAGCAAACCAGACGTGCTTCTGGTCAATTTCCCTGCCTTTTCTTGCATATCTTTCTCTTCATAAACTTTCTACATAAGCCCAATTAGCACTGCATTACCTTCACCTGATGTGCCTTCCATTTCATACCGTAGCAATCGCTTCTCACATTGCCCCTACCCCTTCTATCCCTGGTTTGTCACACCAAGGGGCCTCGACACACCCAGCTGAGAACCTCTAATCTACCTATTAAGCAACGACGGAAGGTGCTTCCCCGTCCACTAGGCTGGTAAATTCTATACGTGTAATACCTTAGAGTGTTAGACAGCGCCGCTCGTAGGCAAGGTCGGGAGTGGGAAAACTCTTTTTGTCAAAGGGAGCCACGCGGCAGGTGATCTTTGAACGGTCAGAGTGCCATTACGCATCCATACATATTATCTACCCTAACAAGGCAACCAGAAACGATAGGCGTCAGTTCTGTTCGTAAACGGTGACAAACGTGGGCTTACCTGCAGCCGAACCTTGGCGACATCTAGAGGAAAGGTGATGGCGTCTGCTATGCAGGCAGCCGAACCAGCACAAGTCAGCTTGGCGGCCAAGCCAAGCTGTAGCTGTTGGCTATTTGCGGTCATAGTGGCTAAAGCGCCAGCTACTCCTGGTCGACCTGTGAGTAATGTTTGACAAAGTGGGGGAAAAGAAATTAGCGTCTGAACACGATCTTTTTTTCCTGAAGCTACGACGTAGCGTGCAAGCGGTGGTGAGGACGTAAAACACTGCACCATGTCTTTCGCACTCCGAGTTCTCTCAAACGCTGTTTATATAACAGCAAAATACAGCCTAAAGCTGCACACACTGACATGAACCAGGTCTTTGCTACTGCGAGTTACATTCCACGAATGGCACGTACAATATTCATTAAAGTTCACGAACGACTATCGCTGTCATATGTTGTGTTTAGCTATTATTGAACATTATGTCTTATTGTTACCATCACACGACTCTTACCATAGCCTGGAATTCCTCAACCTTGTTTTTTGCAAAGCAAAGTCGTTCAAAACATTGATATGCGAGAAATGTCTTCTGTCTGCATGTGCTTTTTCCAAAACAATGTTATGAATAATCGATACCAACTAGCCTGAATCCACATCCGGCTGAGTCGTCTCATAGTCACCGCGTAATAACTCCAGAGTCGACAGCAACAAATGCAGCCACCAATAGCCTGTTAGAGCATTGACTGTTACATTAGTAACGCTCACTGTTGGGATCGCTGCCAGTCGACGTAAAACGTTTTCGGTGCAATAAAAAAAAATGAGAATTTACAGAGGAGACAGCGTTCCTAATGTCTCCGCTTTTCATATTCCATCACTATTTTTCTTTGTTGCATTCGTTTGAATGCGCTATGCATCGCATCTATTTGATCATACACGGCACTCCCGTGTCGTATCCTCTTCCGTAGAATGAATGCGTTTTACAGCTCCGTTCTGTCAGTCGAAACACAAGAGGGGGGCCATCTTTCTCCCCGACAGCATCAGTTGGTTTTTGTAATGTGCTAGCGAGTATTCTATAAGTACTAGCCATTTGAAAGGTTTTCAGCGTTATTTCAATTTATTAGTTGTTTATTTGCCATAATACCAAGTTTTTGTAACGTCGTTTGTCTTGTGAATAGGCGTTTATTGTGGACTGCCGGAGGACAATGTCTTATCTGTAGATTTTGCGACCTATCAATTTATGCCTCACTATTTTATCGAGTTGTCACTGTTAAAGCAGTACAATTTTTGTAGTGTCACTATTATAGGGGTACACTTCTTTCAAGATATCTCTGTTGAACCATAGGTCAGCGAAATAAATGGAGCTCGCTCAAGCTCACTCATTAAATATATTTTGCTGTTGGGGCTCACTGTGATTCAAACTCATCAAACCTTTTGTAGGGCTGGACTCACTCGGACACACTCCCGAAAATTTTCTTCAACCTAAATCACGCCGACTCAAGTTCACCAGAATACTATTCAGTCGGCTTCACTCAAACTCACACTCACGGCTCGACCCAAGTCTGTGTGAGTCAACTATTGAGTGAGTTCGCTGACCTATGGTAGCATCCACACATTTTTTTTATGGTCGTAATGAGCACTCACCGGCAAAACGAGTCGACGGAATGCTAAGAAGTTTACGCTGAGGTGGGCTGTCACGAATGCCCGCCTGGTAAGACGTTTGTTAGGAATTTTTGCGGAACGAAGGCAGAAGCGAAGCTATGGAGACAGCCAGGGACTCCTGCCAGACCGCGGTCCACACGGGCCTGGGGTCGGTGCGAAATATGGCTTCTTCCGACACGGGGAACCTCTCTACCATAATACTCGAGCTGACCTGCACAAGAGGAACAACAAACAGGAACAAAGGCATGAGCGCGAACACGGCACCTTGTGGTCGTCATCACATGATGCAAAAGCCTTTACCTCAGGGTCATAAATTAGACGCTGATTGATAGAACGCAGACGCTGTAATAGCTCCATAAAACAATAGAACACAGTACCACCAAATGGCCCATAGGAGGAAGGCCTGGCGAAAGGAGGCGCTGAGTGGTTTTCGTGGCTCACCCCATCCGCGACGTCCTGTCTTCGCCAAACGCCCTCCGATAGGGACCCCATACGCGGACTTATCTAACCGTCTCCCAATCTGTTACTTTTCTTTATATCTTTGCTACTCTATTTCTCTCTTTTATTCGCTCTTAACTCTTCCCTCGTGAGCCACTGCTGAGATGTCACACTTCGCTGCAGACAGTTGCGTGGTTCTGTCCTCACCTAAAATCACTTGGTGGAAACCGGTGGACGTTTCGCTAGTCTAATATGACGCTATCAAACTAATTCACCCTGCAGCCTGCTGCATGCAGAGGTAATAATAAAAAAATGTTATACAATGTCACAGCATTCACTGTTATGAAAAGGCTATCCAGCTTATATAACACAATGCGCTCTCATACGTAGAAACTCTTTATATTTGCCTGCTCTCTTATTGCGTAACTGCAACTGATAGATCACGGTAAAATTCACGATATCATCAGTAGAAGCGAGTGTGGCTTTTGTATGCCTCAGAAAAGCTGACAGTAATAAGTGGAATAGGTAGGTATCAGATCATCAAAATATTATCACAACACAGACCTTACCGGTTCTTCACGGTTCCGTAAAAATACATGCCGGCAGTATTCCAGACGTAACAAAAACAAGGACGCGGGCACCAAAATACAACATCCAATGAATCTTTCGAACCGACTCGTAGAAAACGGTATTCAGAAAGCCCGCAGCTGCCACTGCATGCGCTAGCATTGCTTCGTTTTAACCAGTGTATTGACCAGATTGATGCCTCACGGAGAAAACAAGTGCCTGTTTAACGAAGTATTCAGGGTCTTACGAGCTCTTTCGATCGTAGCGCGAAGGTATGGTGCTATCGTTCGACAGGCGGAAAGTACGCCGTCCGTAGTAATTACAGTCCAGGGCACGCGTACGTAAGGAAGCTATAGTTGGAGCATATCTCGGCGCGTAAAGCTAGTCGTGCCAAGCAATAACACACAGGGAAGCCCTTTCTGAAACACGAATGAGAGGCGAAAAGAATAATGATCTCTTCTTCATCGACCCTTTTGTGATCCATTTCGCTAGTACAGTCGCCACGTTACTACTTCGATTGTGTTCTCGAACTGATCGTTCATTTTAAGTTCCACTTCGGACTTTCAACTATGTTTTGCGTTCGCTTGACATACAGACGAAGGGGACGCACAAAAAGAAGCCTCAACTCAAACTCGGCTTGTCTAGGTCTGTGTCTACCAAAGGTTCACGCGAATCAACAGGTCACATTTCTTAATAGAATATACAATGTGGCATAGTGGTGGGTCTAAAAGCAAACGAAAACTTTTATGCCTTTTCAAAAGTACTTATAATGATTCTATATTTTAAACTGGGCCCAGTATGAAATTTGTTCTTTTTTTTTTGAAATAGCAAGGCGGGAACGCAAACATGCATGGAGATGTTTCTGGCGCGTACTTCCAAAATCTTGAACTAACATGAACCCCTTTTTAAGAATACCCCGGCCGGTTCCACTGGTGATAACTTTTTGGCTGAGAGACATGCACTTACGTTTTAGTGCTATCTATTAATGAAGGAAAAAATTGAGTATGTCAAGGTTAGGTTTATTACAGTTCAACGTGATGCAACACATCTTTAACCAGCATCATGAATGGTGTTTTAAAGTCAGTCGCTGTTGCAATAGTCACCTGAATACGTAAAAATAGTCACCATAATACGTATTCAGTCACCTGAATACGTCTCAGTTTATCCAGAGCAGCTGGATAAACTGAGAATTCCAAATGAAATTAATTTAGACGTTTTGGATTACACGTGCTCAACACAAGATATCATTATGAAGCACGTCTAGTGGAAGACTAAGGAGTCATTGTGACCACCTCAAGAATTACTATGTAATATAGGGCTTTTTATTGGCTACTTTTGCTAAACAGATGCAACACGTCCGAGTTTCAAGTCAGCTGTTGTACAAATCCTCGTAAAAACGGCGACATTATCCGCTATTTATCATATTTTGCAGTATATATACCAGGAAAATTGGGTAGCAGTGAGGGTTAAGTTATTAAAAGTATATATATATATATATATATATATATATATATATATATATATATATATATATATATATATATGTGTGTGTGTGTGTGTGTGTGTGTGTGCGTGCGTGCGTGCGTGTGTGTGTGTGTGTGTGTGTGTGTGTGTGCGTGCGCGTGCGTGTGTGTGTGTGTGTGTGTGTGTGCCTCGTTGCAATGTTGGAAGGTATCCTTCCTTTTGACGTGATTTTAGTTAACTTCAACGTGCCCTCGTAATATCCTCTCATACAGGTTCTATGCTGATATCAAAACACGCTCGGTAGAAACCTTTGTCTTCTTCGATTTGTGAACTAGAGAGCCAATGCCTGTACGAGCATCGACTGTTGCTGTGAAAATTTGGTCAATGTCTCTGCGTGCGTTTTATAATGTGGTTGACAGATACTTCAGTTGTCTGTTTGCACTCTTGTGTCTCTTTTCATTCCTTGTTTTTTTCCCGTCCGCTGTGCAGCTTGTGTTAGAAGATTACTTCACTTGCTAAGTATAAAACTTCTCTGCCGCGTTACCGTTATGTTTCAGTAAATAAGCATAATACATTTGCACTAATGAATAATTTCCTTAATTGAAGAAGATCAGCAGTTCGTACTTGGTGCAAAAAGCACTTCCGGTAGTTCTTTCGTACTCTCGAAAATAGCTGAAGCCCCGTTGCCTCACCCTAACTTAGGAACACTGCAAAAGACCAGTACCAGTGTTGGCCTTTGTTTGCGCGTCAGCGTCTACTGTTTAGTTAAGTCAGTCAGGGTCACGGATTCTATCCTGGTGAGATTAGTTGAATTCAATTGATTAGTTGATTAGTTGAATTTCAATAGATACCACCTGCTAGAGTCTTCCATACTTTGATATAGGGGCGCGTTAGGGGACCCCTTGTTTTCGCATTTTTCTGAGCCCTCCACTACGGGGTCTGTCATGATCCCGCAGAGGTTCTTAAACGTAAAAACGCAACAATCATAGCATTGTTATCAGACAATTGAAGACGCCTACATTGGTTGCTCTTCCTTACTCCTCCGCGTGAAAGTTTTCATAATGCATATTTCATGACGACCGTCCGGCAGATCATTACATCACATGCTGCAGCGGCTACCTTACATAAATAATAAAGGGCGCTTTTTTTTTATCGTCACGCTTGCCCACTTGTGCAATGTTACCGCGTAACACAACGTGACGAGGATCCGCAACGCTTATGATTACGGGACGATGCGATCAGACATTCCCACGTCACTGGCCCAAGCCAGTAGGAAACCTTTGACGGTTTGTCTTGGCGGTCAGGCTAGCGGGGAATAACGTAGTACGTCTGCCTAGCTGATCGCTGCTCACGTAAAACTCCGGAAACTTTTGACGATTAAAGACAGCCCGAGGAACTTTTCCTCTTTCCTCTTGGAACCACTTGCTTGCAGGGCATATAACTATGTGGCAAAAGTGAACTAACGATTAGTTCTTTCGCAAATAGTTTGTAGGGGTTTAAACATGCCATAACCACGACGTGGTTATTATGCACGCCCTATTGTGGATGGCTCCAGATATTTTTCAACCCCTAGGACTTTTTTAACGAGCGTATACATTGCATTGTACACGAGCCTTTAGTATTTATTGCCTCCTTGGAAACGTGACTGACGACGATTAGCCGGAATCAAGGTCAGTCGCGTCAGCTAGATCACCGTTACTGCTGCGACACAAAGAATCAAATGAAGATTTTAGGTGCCACAAGAAAATATATGAATATTGGGCAACCTCGACCCCCCTCACAAATATCGCAAATACCGCAGGAAGCAAGCAATCAGCTGCCTAGAGAGAACTACTACTTGTTAAAAAAAAACACTGATCGATATGCAAATGTTGGTTCTTTGAACAAAAAGAACCACTCTTTAATAAGCACGAAACTATGCAGATTACAAATCCGTACAAATATAAACTATTGCGCACCTACAAACGTGACCCATCAGGTACAGTGGAACTGATTTAAAAGCTCGCCAATATTAGGACAACTACAAGTTCTTATCATTTCAAATACCACGCACGTACTTTGTTCTCTTGTAACATACACATTATGGAAATGAAAGGTTTGATTTATTGATATGTGGGGTTTAACGTCCCAAAACCACTATATAATTATGAGAGACACCGTAGTGGAGGGCTCCGGAAATTTAGACCACCTGGGGTTCTTTAACGTGCACCCAAATCTGAGCACACGGGCCTACAACATTTCCGCCTCCATCGGAAATGCAGCCGCCGCAGCCGGGATTCGAACCGGCGCCCTGCGGGTCAGCAGGTGGAAATGAAAGGTTTGCGTACGCCCTGGCAACCACACTAACTGACCTAGAAAGAAAAAAAAATATATTCACGTCCTGAGTATTGCTATCAGAGGCTCGCGTGATCTCTTTGTGTAATAGTGATGGACTCCTTGATACATATTTAAGGAAATATATTGCGAAATGGTTTTAGTGCAAAGTCACATGTATTGATATTTAGGAATTAAGTATAGTATGCATGTGTATTTGCTACACGTGGTGAACTTCCAAATTATCTAAAATGAGTGTACTTAGAAGCTATGAAACAAACCATTCAGTCACAGCTGCCTAATGGCCACAGGGCTTAGTCAAGCTGCATGAAAGAAGATTTTGTTTTCTTCTCTGGCTCCTATTTTTCGCTGTAACATATAGTACATTTTTATAGTGAAAACGAAACTCAATAAAGAGTTATGACCTTA